TTCAAGCCTCGCATCACGACCAGCGAACCACCGAAAAGTCATTTCCGTACTGACCGACCCTCTCGCACTGTCAAGCCACCGAGCCGCGACCCCAACGAAGGATACGACTTCGGCGGCCTCGTGGACGACGAACCCACAATGATCTTCGATGGCATCGAATTCGCATGTAATGCAATGCCGACGACAGGTGACGTCCCCAACTCGCACAAGGAAGCCATGGCGTCACCTGAGCGGAGCGAGTGGATCAAGGCAGAGAAAGCCGAATTGGAGCAGTTGCAGGCTCAAAACACTTGGACACTCGAAGCCGTGCCACCAGGTAGGAAACCAATTGGATCACGATGGACCTACGCCAAAAAGACGGACGCCGACGGGAACGTGGTGCGATACAAGGCACGACTAGTTTGCAAAGGCTACGCGCAGGTCGAAGGAGTCGACTACGACGCGACTTTTTCTCCCGTTATTCGCATGGCGACCATTCGAATCGTGTTGGCCCTCATCGCTCATCTCGACTTGGAAGCAGAGCAAGGCGACGCCGACAATGCGTTCGTTCAAGCTCGCATGCCACAAGGCACCAAAATATACGTCAAGCAAGCCGACGGGTACGAGGACGGAACACAGCGCGCGATGCTGCTCAACCAAGCGTTGTACGGATTGAAGCAAGCAGCGTTGGCATGGTATGACCATTGCCGCGACATCTTGATCAAGCTGAGGTTCAAACCGTCGGATTACGATCCGTGCCTCTACGTCCGCGGACACGCAACGAGCCTCGAGATAGTGTGTACGTACGTCGACGACTTCATTGTGGCTGCAAAGACTCAACGCCAAGTGGACGCGATTTTCGTCGAGCTCCAAGCGAACATGAAGCTCAAGAAGCAAGGGGAGCTCCATCACATTCTGGGTATCAAGATCTCTCGTGATCGTGCGGCGAAGTCAATTCACGTGTCTCAACCGGCATACGCACGAAAAGTCCTGGCTCGATTCAACATGACCAACTCCAGAGGCAAATCTACACCCGAGGCTATGGACAACGACAGCTGGGACGACGCGAAGGCACCAGTGGCAGACCAAGAAGAATACCGTTCAATTGTGGGCAGCATCATGTACTTGATGACATGCACTCGACCCGACATCAGCCACGCCGTTCAACGTCTGAGCCGTCATCTGCATGACCCACGTGAACCGCACATGGTGGCAGCCAAACGTGTGCTGAGGTACGTCAAGTCGACACTAGATGTTGGAATCACCTACCAAGCGGACGGCCCCAACGTCAAGGCCACACTACTCGGGTACGGCGACGCCAGCTGGGGCAATCGCCCCGATCGTAAATCAACAAGTGGTTACGTTTGGATCCTCCTCGGTGGCCCGGTCTCGTGGAAGTCAAGTCGACAAAAGATCGTGGCACTGTCAACATGCGAGGCGGAATACAT